TGAGAACAGGAATTGATGGCACTGAAGGGCTATGACAAAAAATTGTAGAGCATTGGGTTTTCTTATAGTGCTGCATTCATGGGAAACCATCTTCCACCTGATTTGACTTGAACAATAATGCTTTCACTGGGCCACCTTCAGTGAATGGGGCAGAGTGAACCACTTTTGTTTATTGTTTTTATTTCAAAAATCCCTTTGCTTGTAATGCCATGTCAGCTGCTAGAAAACTAAAATGTCTTTTCCTGTCGATTTTTATCCACACTGTTTTTCTATGAGAGCAAAAGTCAACACGACAACATTTTACTGAGCCCTGTTTCTATCTCTTTTTTATCTGTATTACTGATGCCAATGGAAACATAAGCTACTCTTTCAAATAGCAAGCTGCAGAGACCAACAAAATACATTTTTTTAAACATATTACATTAAAATAATGCCTACTTGGAGGTTTTTCCTTTTGTTTTTAAAAGCGTCAAAAAGTCATGGATATTTGAAAGAAGATTTCAAGATGAAGCACTTTTTAAAATGTTGTTTTAGTAAAATAAAAGTCAAGAGTGGATTCTCAGCTGCTTAAATTGATATAACTTCTTTCTGAGTGCAAGGCTGTTTTGGTGATTGACATTAGGGAAGGTCTAGTCTTTCGTGGGTTCAAAGGTCAGCCCATATAGTATTTCTGTTCCGTGTGTGTGTCTTCTACTTTATGGTCAAACAAAGGTTATCTATTGTTAGCACTGTAGAGCCAAAACAAGTATGGGAGGAAAAGCTGGATTCTGTTCTTCTTTGTAGTGTTATGTATGTGTGTAAATTATTACATATGTCCAGATACACGTTGTTTTAGTGGTGAATGCCTGGGGACCTTTATAACACGCATGTATTATATCCTTTATAACTCACATGACAGGAGTGTTTGTATATTATAGATACGTACGTTATGTGTATATTATTACATATAGCATATATTACTGCACTCAGGGAAGCACTGGTAGATGGTCCACTGTGCTGAGGGTAAGGGAGTCACTGCCCGGGCACCCTGCGGGCACCGCCATCATGCTCGGCCTGGGGCAGGGAGGAGGAAGGGCGTCCCTATGTGGGACAGAGATGATGACCAGATTGCCTTCCCTGCCGCCAACGGCGAGGCAAGCTTTCTCCTGCCTCGGTGCCGAGCCCTGCTGCCTGCTGGCCTCCCTGTGTGCTTCTGTGGAAGGACTGCATCCTCACAGTCTTGGTTCAAGACCAGGTGAGCTTAGCTCAGGGGGCTGAGCTGTCTCTCAGGAGGGCTGGTTACTCCTGGCCTGGCATTTTTAAACCCATTTGAGCAGAATGTGCAAGACCTCCACTTTCTGCCAGGGACTCATTTGAGCTTTTTCTGTGCACTCATCGATGCAATTTCTGATCCCTTGGATACCGGGGTGAGCCCTGACTTCTGACTGATGCGTTTGTTTCCCTTTCAATGTATTTGGCTGCCTAACCTTTTAACCCGCGCAGTGAGTCGTGTCATGACAACTTTCTTTCCTCGTCCCCACACATGGCAATTATTACTGTCCTCCAAATCCTAAGGAGAAAGTTTACTTTCTGAGGGGAAGTCAAACCCGTGACGGTACAGAGAGAAGGCATCTCAATAATGAGATGATGAGCGTGAATCTTAAGATTGTGCTCCCAGGCTCATGAAACTGGCTTGTTTCTCAGTAGACTTCTGCCTTTAAATATCCTTTATCTATTTTTCCACTCAGTGCCTGTGTCTCATTGCTTAGCATTCACTTGGTTGATTGACGCTAAGAAAGAGACAGATTTGGCACTGGGGGTTTTATCATGGAAAAGTTAAACTAAGTCAGGGAATTTGTATTTTTCTACCACTTTTTGCAGGGTTTTTGGCCCTCTGAGGGATGATTACTGTTTCCATTCCTGTGTCTGTTTGCGTGGTGTGAACTTCTACTTTGTCCCAATTCCTGAAAATGTTTGTGAATTACAAGAAATTGCTGTGGTGATTTCAGTCAGAAAATTTCTCTGTGGAGAAATCATCTTCCCATCATCCTCTGCAGGGAGGCATGACAGGATCTCAGCTGAGTCCTGGAAAATGGAAACTGTACATTTCAGGCTGCCGTTATTTTATGCGTTGCAGAGCTTTGGCCTATTTTTTTCACTTAGTCTTGCAACTGACTGAAAACTAAAACTTTCGCAACACATAATCAGCATGTCCTTATAAACACCATTCATATTTAAGGAACTCCACGGGGCTTTTGCCCTGCGGCAGAAATACCCCCTAAAGAAGAGTGAAAGGGTTGTTTTTATGCTAGAAAAAACAAGTACTCTGAGCACGCGTGTGTTCGTAGATGTGGAAAATTGGGCTTACGTGGGACTCAAGTGAGGCTGGGTCCACTCACAGCCACCTCCATGGAGCTGCTGGGAGGATCCTGCACAGTCTCCTTCTCCAGCCTGCCCCACTTGGCATAAAAAATAAACAGGAGGCTGGGGCCGGTGGTAGGCGCCCACCACACACCACGGTGGCGCTGCGTGGCCCCGTGGGGCCGACTATCTTGGGAAGGCGGCCATGGTGCAAGCAGCCCTCATCAGGGAGGAAGGCTGCGGTGACGGGAGCATCTATTCGTGTAGTTGATTGGTTGAAGTTTGGGATGGTTGTGGGAATCCCACCCCAAATTTCTACTAAAGTCTTTATTTGTGTTTACCAAAATCTTCCTCCTCTGGCCAAAGCCAAGGGTTAATAAAAACAAGCAACTATTATGATTTAATTATGTTGATAAAACTGCTAATATTTTTAGAATATTATTAAAACGTAATTGAAATGCCTTTTGATCATTAGAATGTATTCGGTATATCGTCTGGCTTTGTGAAAAAGTCTTAAAAAAAATTAAAAATTTTAAAATAATCTTGCGTGTGCACACATTTTTGACAGACTAATAATTAGAAAGTAGTGTACTACGCAGTATTGGAGGGCTCTCTTTTTAAATTGTAATCCCAAACTTTCTGTTGTACAAACATTACCAGTAAATGAAAAAAATACGTCTGTATGTTATGGTACAATTTCACTGGCAGGTGTTGACATGAAATTTCAGCCTTCTACAGTGGATTAATACGTGTGATTATATGTAACACATGTAGCATATGGTGGTTTTGTTAATTCATCATACTTGATCTATTAAACTCTCACAGGCTTTCCAGCTAATTGTGAATATTTTCTTTTTAAGGCATAAATGTTAGACAGTTTGGACTGCTTTATTCTATTGCACGAACTCTTTGAACCCTCTTCACTGTTTTGCTAATTAGGTACAACTGATAGGGTGAGGGAAAGAAGTGCACGGATGAGAGATGCCGGCTCCATGGGTTGCTGCACGTACCGCGTGTTGGTGTTGGTTTCACACCGCGTTTCACTCACTCTGTCCATCCATCTATCCATCCATCACACATTTTTTTAAAAAGCATTTTCCAGTTATTTGGGGGCTGAACGACGTTATCTAGGGGCTAGATCACAACAGTGAATATCTGAGACGCTCGCAGTCTTTAACACCTTAACTCTCCCTGCATCTGGCAGGGAAATCCCGCTATCCCCGCTCTAAAAGCGGGGCAGTGAGCTGAGGGTGCCACCCACGTCCACCGAGGTCTTTACCCTCCCAACACTTACTGCCTCTGGGAAACCCCAGCGCGCTGGGAGCGTTTGAAAGGTGTTTTAGAGGCTAGGCCGGAGAGAAAGCCACACGCCTCGCTATGTGCTACGCAACCCGACGTTTGCTGGGGCTGCTGTGCTAGCGAGCAGGGCGCTGTGGTTTCCCCGCGCGCCTGCTGCTCCCGCCCTGCCAGCAGGGTGAAGGGGAGGGCAGCCGCTTCGGCAGGCGCCGGGAGCCTTTCCTCAGCACCCGGCAGCGCCCTTCCCTGAGCTCTCTTGTCTTTTCCTTCTGATTTCTAACATTTTCTGCTTTGTCTATTGTGAAGGGGCCAAAACCAACTTCAGCTGAGGGTCTTCCAGTGTTTAGGTTGCAGATCCCATGCTGCTTTATATCCCGTTCCATTTTTAACACAGACATCTGCTGCGTTTGATTGCTAGTATTTTTGTATCCTGTGCACTGGTCAGTAATCCTCATTTATTCAGACGATTTTCCTGTTGCCGACACTTTCCTTACTGCTTCCCACAGGTGAAAGTCTCTCCCTCCCTCCTTCCCCTCTCACATCCTGCCCCCTTGTGCATATGCTACAGCGCGCTCGCAAGGCATTGTGCAGGGAGGGGGAAAAAAAGGAAATTTGGGGAGAGGAGTGGATTTCAGCTAGAATGACAAGAAAATCCGAGGCAGGTGTCGTGTCTCTGCCGTCGGGACGAGGCTCTGGAAGCGAGTCGGCGCTAGCTGGCCGGGGGCGCCGCCGCGAAGCGCTGCGGCTCGCTCGGCGCTGGTTAGCCGCGCAGCCCAGCGTAGCATGCCGTGGGGCTGCTATTTGCTTGCAGCGCTCGGTTTCAGCAAGAAGCTTCTGCTGCCGTAGGCGAAATCTGGGCAGAGATGCTGACAATCAAGCACAAGTTTTTGTCGCTGTGAATAAAACCTCAGCTGTGGGCAATTTGGAAAGATCCTAATTTTAGGCAGGCTGTGCAGCGCCCGGCTGCGCGTTGTCGAGGTACCTCTGCGTGCGCGGAGGGCCAGCGTTTCTGGGAGATGCAGCGTTTGCTTGGGTGAACCAGGTGGAAAAGGGGAATTTTTTTTTTTTTTTTTTGCTTGAGGTTGGGGATGCGAGAGGAAGAGGGAGGGAGGGAAGCGCATTCTCTTAAAAGGACACGGTTAAAACAGCCGTGGCGTGAAGATGGTACAAACTCCCCGTTAGAGCCAACTTAGCTGAGTTCTTGGTGTTTGGGTTGTCAGGGAGCCCATGATGGTTCAAATGTGCACACAGTATGACAGATGACCTATTGAAATAATTTCAGAGCAGTGCTGCGGTTGCTAGGACAACCAATGCTCTCTTGGCTTTCATCTGGCCATGTGACAGCGACTTTGACGTCAGCTGGAGGCAGAGCCTGTGGTTTCAGCCGCGCAGCCAAAGGCTTGTGAGAACCTAGTGGATGCTGGATTTATCCCTGCTGCTGCTGCTGTTGCTGCTGCTGTTTCTCAGGGGCTGCCAGAGCATGGACTATTAAAAACTTGCATTTCTGCCGTGTGAGGTAACCATTTGCTTTATGTTCTCGTCAGGTATTTTTGATTTTTTTCTTAAAAAAAAAAAAAGGAAAAAAAAAAGGATGAAAATGAAGCTTATTGTGATTGATAGTTTTTTCACTTGTTTGTTTTGGCTGGAAGTTTGCCTTGATGAACAAGCCTGGCACTATCAGATAAATGCAAAGCAGCTTCCAGTTACTAATTCTGTGCGCAGACTGCAAAGCAGAGTTAAATTTAGATTAATGATCCATGAAAGGAGAATAAAATGATATTGTTCTTGTTTGACACTTTAGGAATATAAATGAACATGAGCAACTTAGGCTAATCTATATTGGAGTTAAAAGAAACCATGTTTAGGTATTCTGTTGATTTGGGCATCTGTACAGCTTTAGACTTCTGTTGGAACTTGAATTTTTTTAATGCCTTCTAGTTCAGATGTTTTTATACCCAATGTTTTTAATGAACAGAAAGCCAGCAGTAGATACAGATAGGAACAGCTTGCTATCAAACTCCAAAAGTTTGAGTCTTTAAATCATCTTTGTTCACACGTGCTCCCTGCACCCACAGCACTCGTACGCTGTTAGGGCTTTCTGCCCTTGTCTTGGGGCATGTGGCACTCTTGACTGTATAATGTTTACAGAGGAAAGGATCAACAGCTTCCTGAAAAATTATCTGAAATATGCCAAGAGACCAACACTGCTGTAACATACACTCTTACCCTTTTTCTCACACACACACACACACACACACAAAACTTTCTTTTTCTGTTATGCGGTGAGAGCGGTTAGATTAGCTAAAAAAAGAACTGCGGCATGGACAGCATCATGGTAATTGAAAAATAAAATGCTATTTGGATCTCTTCTGGAAAAGAGGAGGGAATTTGGTTCTGTTTTTATATTACACTTATTGCGAGGAGGTTGTTATCGAGGAGATTCCAGAGTTCCTGAAGTTTGTTGCCACTGCCTGAGTTTGTTTGTATGTGAACACAGATACTCGTTTTAAGAACGGATTACAGATGAAATTTCATGTGCATTATTTCCTGGAAAAGTATGTTAGAGCATTCTTATCATCTTAGATTATATACTCCTATTCCCTGTTCCCTTACTCCCAAAGTGCAAAGGGTTTGCTGATAGTGGTGATGATTTTCTAAAACAGCTGCCACTCTGAAACAATCATGAAGCGACACAAAAATTTAAAATACAGTGCAAGAAAAGACAAAAGAATTATGTAAAAATTATTCTAATGTGGTTAAAGCCACAGAGGTTAAAACTGAGAGCACTTCTGTAAAGAAAGTTGTGGTTTAATGCTCTAGATTTCACTGCCTTTGGCATTCTTAATAGACCAACAATGATAAATTTATTTAAAGCCTCTCAACCTTTATTCATGTTATTTAATCTGTTCTTTCCAGTTTAACTCTTATGTCAAAAATATCAAAGTTTTGGACACTGAAATATTTTAAATCTTGTGTATTAAATTTTTCACCTGATGGCAATGTATCAGTGGATCGGATACACATATATATGTATGTGTGTGTGTGTGTGTGTGTGTGTGTGTGTGTGTGTGTGTGTGTGTATTTATATATGTGTGTATATATATATAAAATAATATCCTAACAACTCCACAATGATGATGATTAATACCTCGTTCTCAGCGTCGTGCAAGAACAAAGCTATTAGCCCTTTTTTAGGTTGCATGAACTACCAGTCCTAGTGCTGCTGGCGCTGTCCTTACTCTGAGGAGCAGGTTGGACAGTCTTGGGAATAGCTGCTCAGCAGGCTGGGTGAGGAGTTTGTATTTGGGGTGACTGCAGTCCGTGAGGTCTCACCTGCACGTGAGCCCCTGCCGAGTCTGGACAGCGCGGCGGTGGCGGGGGGGAAGGGAAGTGGCAGACGCAGCCCTGCGCGCTCGAGGCTCTAGCGTTGGGCCAGGGCCCGCAAGTGGTCGGTACCTGGGGAGCAGTGACAGCTTTGAGTTGAGTGGGAGCTTTCCAGCGAAAAATGTTATTCACCTTCACATTAGTAGGATTTGGCTCCATGGTACAGATACCGCTACCTACTAGGTGTGACCTGACTTTACTTATCAGCATAGCAGTGATGTTCAGGGAGGGCTGGGGCTCCAGCTCATTCATTTAGGCTTGAATACAGCATCCTGTAGAATTTGATGCCTTGAAAACACCTGCTAGGTAAAAAAATAACTGATATCGCTTTTGCTCAAGAGCTATTCATTAGAAATATTTTAAAAATGGATTCCTCGTCTCTAGTTTAAATGGATACATTTTTCTTTAGCAGTATTGAACAAGTCGTGATAAAGGCATTCACTTGACCTGAGAGAGGATGAATACCTGCTTCCCACTGTACCAGGAGGGTCCCCGCAGCATGGCCACAGGGGAAGCTGTTGAGTGCCACATAGGTTGCACAGAGATGTGTCCTGCTTGGTGGAATGACAAGCTCTGTCACCTCTTGTTGGTGATGGGAGGTTTGGGGGCCCCTTTGAGCACTGTAGGGGTAGATGGTTGCAACACAGCCAGTGAGGCGGCTCGTGACAGTAATCTCCAAAGTGTGGAAAAGGCACGAGTCGCTCATCAGAGAAAGTGAAGGAAATGGGGTGTGAGAGAGGTCCCAGGGCCCCGTGCCTCTTCCCTGTGATTTTGTGCTCTCGTTTTGGTTGGTTAGCTGTGCATGGTATCAAACCCTTTTGACACGTGCTTGAATTTTACCTTAGAAGCATGTGAAATTCCCAGGACAATATAATGTTAAGTCTCTTCCCTGTGATGGGTTTCAGCTGCCATGAGAAAGGAACAAACACAAGCTTTAAATTCCTGCCTCCTTCCTGCCACTGAAGAGCAGGAAGGTGATTGCAGTCCACCCCTCATCTTCTGTCCAAGGCTATACCTTTAGACTGTAAACTGACTTGCACTTGAAATTTTCTAAAATCAAGAGAAAAAAAAAAGACCATGCACACACACTTAGTGACACTCCACCTTCCTCTGCAGCTACCAGATTGACCCTCATAACTCTCATCAGCCTTAATATGATTTGCAAATGCCACCCCCTGGCATGCACATGAGGAGGAGTCAAGCTCTTCCTCTAGCTTTGTCTCTTTATCCACAAAGAAGGGTGAACAGATCAGTAATTCCTGAAGTATAACAGCGCTTCACCTCAGGAGAGCTTGGCTAAAAACAGAATTGAAATCTCCTTGCATCACTTCTCATACAACTGGATTCAGCCAGTGACATTAAAAACAAATTCAAATTGTTGATGCCTCTAGCCTAGTAATAATAACACACTCGGGCCTTTAGTGTCCTCTACCTTGATCTGCTTGAGTCGATGGGCAATGACAATCTAAATTTAGGCTAGAAGTGTAACAAAAACCTGAATAAATCTTGCAACACAGAGCACTTCAGCTCTTTCTAGCTCTTTTCACACAGAATGATATTTCAGCTGTACTTTTAAAGGTCCTACCCACTACTCAAGGTGATAATGAGGGTGATAAAACCCCCCTATGGGGGGACTGACAAACAGTGGGAACTCATGCAGCAGTACTGAGATTCGGGCTCTTGAATTACATATTGCAGAAGTTAGTTTTAATCCCACTAAAAATCATCACATTGTGCTAATTTAATGTCCTGCATCAACATTAGCAACAACTGGTTTAAGTGGTAACTGAGCAACAGTAGAGATTTGGCATTTTAATCAACAGTTGCTTTTTCAATTAAAAGCAGATGCCATGGATATGGTACTCTGAATGCAAACTAAAAGTTGACCTCATTGTTGGTTCCAAGCTAAAGTACAAAAATCCTAACTCTGGAATGTTTTTGGTAGCCATAGTTTAGAAATAATGTTCTGTGGTGAGCCAAACGCCAGGGAGACAGTTATAGTCAGATAACAGTTTAAAAAAATAGGATATATTTTGGCTGTACTTTTACTGCTGTTAAATTTATCTTCTTAAATAGCAGGGAGTATGAGCTGAGGTTTGAGAACAGTAATTTTGTAATTATTTTACATGGATCAAATTATTCTGTCATCGAATTTGCATTTCAGACAGCATTACAGTATGAAAATATAATTAGAAACTGTAATTCAGGAATTGCTGAATGTGATATTTCCCAGAGGGAGCACCGTGAAGAAGCTGCCCTTATTACAACTTTAGCAAATGTTGAAATCCTATAGGTGGAAAATGTGAATGTAGGGTTGTAAAGTTGCTTTCCATTCTGTGGTCTCAACACTGTTGACTTTCTGCCGAACTTCATTTTTTTCTAAGATTCATTTCTACAAAAACATCTAATCATTAAAAGCTGAAGTGCTCAGATCCTGTTCTGTTGAATTTCAGTCTGGCTGTGCTGATAGTTGCTGAATTGCTTTCAGCCACAAACTGACACTGAGATAATGTAAGGATCTGATTTACACCTACAAAAGCCAAGAAGCTTGTAGTTTGGGCTGAAACACTGTTTTTAATTTGCCCAATCCCTGGAATTCCCAGAAATATCTGCTCTCATTGGAAAGAGCAAAGGATGAGGTCTCTGAGTTAGCTCTGTTTCTTTTCTTTTGTTAATTCAAGACTTTTGCCGTACATGTTCACAGTGCTGTGCAAGGTTTTAGCTGCATAAATCTCACTGATGTCAGTCCTTAAGGTTTTTTTTATTGTTATTATGATCTTTGTCTTTTACAGAGGTACTAGCTGGAAATGAGCACATGCTTTCTTTTGAGTTGCGCTCGGGTTGATAGATCCCCCCTGATTTCATCTGAAACGCACAATCCTTTGGAGATCCTCATCCATCCCCAGTTTTTCCCATTACCTTGTCAGGGTTTTGGGCAACCCAGTATGAGGGAGCAGAGCTAGCGAAGCACAAAGGGAAACGGATGATGGGGAGGAAGCAAGAGCTGAGTGTGGGGCCATATTCAGTACCTCCAGCTCCCCGGACGTCCCTCACAGTTCGGCGGACAGCGATTCCCACTGCTCCTTCAAAGGAAATAAAAACAGCAGGGCTGCAGTAGGAGATGTACAGATG